GGGTGCATAGTGTCCCCCCACCAGTGTTTCAGGGAGAAATTTGAACTCGCATTTGCATACAAACAGCAGGATTTTAAGAGAGCCCGGGTGAAGGCGTCACCCTCAGACTAAAAAGGGTGGGGAGAAGGGCCAAGGTGCAGTTTCAGGGAGGAGATACCCTCAGCCGCAGAATCACCGTCCTGCACGTGTGTACCTCTGCAACGTGGTCAAATAGAGCGGCTGTGGACGCACATTAATATGCCACACCATCCATTTGCCGTTTTAAATTAGCAAGCCCAAAGCATGCTTTAATGTTAACTTTTAATGATTTTTAGAAAAGGAAGACGACGACTCTATTTTCTAATATGGTAATTACTGCTTTTGTCCAAATATGAATGCTGCGTGCACATTTCTGAAATAGCATCAGTGAACACCATGTTGAAATCACATTTTTCCCCCTTTTCCTCGAATTTTGTGGGATTCTTGTTCCTTGTTGAGGCACCCTTGGCTAATGGGAAAAGCACTGGATCTGGTAGAGAAAAAGAATTTGAATCTCCTCTACCACTCTTCACTCATGGGCTCTTGGGCAAATCCCTTAAGTTTCCACGACCTCCAGTTCCAGCAAGATGGAGTGGGAAGCTGGGCCTCATCTTACCAGCATTGCAGGACTGTTGTGAGGGTCAGACGAAATGATGCATCCAGAGGTTGGCACCAGAATACATTCAATAAATATCATTTTGGTGCCATGCTAAGCATCAGTTAAAAGTTTTAAGAATTGGGTTGGGTGGTGGTTCATGCCTGTAATCCTAGCATGTGGGGAAGGCAAGGCAGGAGGATCCCTTGAGCCCAGGACTTAGACCAGTCTGGGCAACATAGAGAGACTCTGCCTCTATATAAACATTTTAAAAATTAGCTAAACATGTGTGTGCATTTGTAGTCCCAGCTATTCCGGAGGCTGAGGTGGAAGGATTGCTTGAGTCCAGGAATTTGAGGCTGCAGTGAGCCATGATTATGTCACTGCACCCCAGTCTGGGCAACAGAGTGAGACTTTGTCTCAAAAACAAAGTGTTAAGACTTAAAGTAATATATGAATTTACAAATATTTCTGCAGATTTCTAGCTTAAGGAAATAATGCAATTAATGTAATCTTAAAATAGTTTAAGTAAAGGATAGAGTGCTAGAAAGGGGTGACTCCAAGCTCTGTCATGTTCACATCATACTGTGGATCCTGGCTAAGTCACTTCCCTTCTCTGGGGTTGCTATGGTCTGAAGGTTTCTGTTTCCCCCAAATTCTTAGTTAAAATTCTAACCCTTAAGGTGATGGTATTAGGAGGTGGGACCTTTGGGAGGTGATTAGGTCATACAGGTGGAGCCCTCATCAGTGGGATTAGTGCCCTTATAAAAGGAGTCCCAGAGAACTCCCTCATCCCTTCTGTCATGTGAGGACACAGTGAAAAGATGGCCTTCTCTGAACCAGGGAGAGGATCCTCACCAGACACCAAATCTGATGTCTTGATCTTGGGCTTCTTAGCCTTCAAAATGGTGAGAAATAAATTTCATTCATTTATATGCCACCAAATCTGCGGTATTTTGTTAATAGCATCCGGAAAAGACTAAGGCAGGGTTGCAATGAGGAAACAGTTCTGGATAGCATTCTCCAAGTATGACCATTCCTTAAAGAAGAAAAATGAGTATTTACCCACACCAATCCTCTTCATTCACGTCTCCTTGAAGCATCACAGCAACCCCAGCTAGGAAGGACCAATAGCCTTGACAATATTTTCCACTGGACAAATCTAAGACTTGGCCATATTAACTGATTTCCCCAGAGTCACTTGGTCAATGGCAGGAGTTTTGACTTCAGATTTACTTCTCTTTCCATGATAGCGTGCTACCTGCCTCTTGGGGAATGCACTATAAATTGAGCCATGCTTTTAGGAAAATTATGATCTGATATACAGCAGAAGGTCATGGACACCATGTCCTTGAAGCCATGTGGTAGCAGCCTTAACTACAGTGGAAGGAGCCACTCTGCCTGATTAGGATCTCACCAGCATGTCTATAGCTGGGGATAAGAAGTTTTCTACCCTAGATTTTATTGGCACCATTTGTATCCCGTTAAATAAATTATTTTATGTGAATATAGCCCTTACTAGATGGTAATTTCAAAAGTAAACCAAATTTGAATGGAATCATTTAACTTTTGAAGTTAGGAAATATTTTTACATGTATTGAGTTATGCTGATAGCTGAGTGTCATATCTCTCTGTTGAAGCTTTGTAAAACATTTTGCAGGGACAGGTGTGGCTCTGGTCAATACCCAGGCTACTCCCACAGAACAGTGTTATGTGGGTGAAAGTATACCCACCTGAAAACCAGGAGACCTGCCACCAGCCAGTTCTGCTACCAGCTGAGTCACCTGAGCAGTCATTTCACCTATGTCTTGGTTTCCCCATCCCTGTAAAGTCTCTTTCAGTCCCAAATGCAGCTGGAGAAAGGGTCCAATCTAGTAAATGCTTCAGCCTTTGTTCTGTAAAGCAAAAATGAGTTAATCCATGAAAAACGCTTACAGCAGTGTCTGTCTGCATGTGGTAGCTGCCTTATAAATATTAGCCATTAGAATAATCATTATCATTATGCCAAGAGCACTAAAACCATGGCAGTGTAGAGCTGAATTTAAAGACTTAGTTTGGGATGGAGCCAGAATGAGAACCCAAGAGCTCAGATTTCCAGTTTGGGGCTCTTTGACTTCTTGCTTCCTCTGAAGGTTCTCAGGATTCCTCAGGGAATTGTGTATGGCTCACTCACCTCTGCTGACACTGGAATAAAGGACAGAGTCTTCACTGTGTAATGTCACACAAATTTATTGATAATCTGGGCCAGGATTAAAAAGATGATATTGCTAAGAGAAACAGTTCTAGGTAGCAGATGTTGTAAGTGGTTAAATAGTTCACCTTAACAGAATTCCCAGGGGAGAGTGGGGGTGTGCTCTGTCCGAATTGTTTATAAGAGAGGGCTCCATACGGATGATACTGGAGTGAAACCTGGAAGGACAATTAGGATTGTCGAGACAGGGATGAGCAGGAAGACACCAGGCCAAGGAAGCTGCTTGGGCTGCAGTGTGGAGCCTCAAGTGCCTGGCACATTGGGGTCATGTGTGATTTGTGTAGCAGGGGCATGGGGAGTGTGCGCGAGTGAAGTGGCAGGTGATAAAGCCAGAAAGGTGGGCTGGGGCAGATTCTGTAGGGCCTGCTATGCCAAGCCAGGAAGCATAGATGTCCTCCCACTGGGCTGCAGCATCCCAGCTGTGTCCAGAAGCGCTCCAGGATTCCCCCAGAGCTGCATTGGGCCCAGAGGGGCAGGGCTGGAGGACTTTAGGGCAGGCTCTGAGGCCTCTGTCCTTGCTTTACCCAGGGCAGCTTAGACTTTATCTGTTTTATGTCTTGGGGCTCCTTGTAACACTTCACTGAAAAAATTTAGGGTTCTCCTATTTCAATCCTTTTTTATGAGAGTTGAAATCCACTGTGTAGATCACAGCAAGGAGTTGAGAAAAGTCTTGAAACCAGGAAAGTAACCCAATGGGATCTAGATTTTAGAAAGTTCATCCTGGCAGCAGCGTGCATGATCAATTAGTAGGCTGGTTCAGCAGTCTGGGTGGGCAAAAAGGAAACGTAAACCAGGGCAATAGCCATGGGACAAGAAAGGATGGATTGGAGAAACAGGTCAGAGTTTGAGGGTTCCTGGCATTGGGATGCTTTGATATGGAGAAGGAGAGTTTCTAAACCAAGTGGTAGTGATAGCAGATCTCCAGTCTAGGTGATCTTGAAGACAACAATCTTGGAAATTTGGTAAAAGAAGTTGTAATAACAAGTGAACCCCACACAGAACAGCAAATAGAATGTCTGGAGTAAACCACCAAAACTTGAAAGAGAAACCTTTTCCTTTGAGGGGCCTGGTGGGGAAGCTCCAAGCCTTGGCACATTGTCACAAAGCCAAGAAAATCTTCCTCACCTGCATCTGTAGCATCTTAAGGAGACCCCTCAGAGGATCCCAGGCTGGAAGCTATAGTCAGCTCCTTCCTGGGGTAGATGAAAGAGATGTTTTGCAAATGCTACACTGCCAAGCATTCCCTTGATACTAAGAAAAATCATTTTTATTTGGCAGAAAAAAAAATCCTCAATGTATTTCGCTGGATGCCTTAGAATGTGAGCCTTCTGCCAAATGAAGACCTGGGCCTCCTAATTTGTTGGAATCTTAGAAAACATGGCAAAATGTGCTCTGACCCCACAATTCAAATTCATCTATGGAATTGAAATGCGTTCCATGCCCTTCCTCAGAACAGATTGTTAGTTGTCGTGGTGATTTCAAATTTGATCTCTTAGCAGAGCGTCTAATTCTTGGATGGGTCAAATGGGAGAAAAAAGCTGTAGCTACTCTGTCTAATATGGCAGCCCATACTCACACATGGGATGTGCCCTTGAGCATGAATAATTTGAATTGATGTGTGCTGTAAGTATAAAATACACACTGGATCTCAAAAGCAGTATGAAAAAATGTAAAATATCTCAATACTTATTTTATATTGGTTACATGTTGAGATGATAGTATTTTGAACCCATAGACTAGATTAAATGTATTATTGAAATTAATTTCATATTTCTTGTTACTTATATTAAAGGGGCTACTAATAAAAATTGCACAGGTGCATATGCAATAGATATCACAGTATATGTCCTTTGGACAGAGCTGCTGTAGATTAATTGAGGTTCCCCAATATTCATGTAGTAAGCAAAAGCTATTAACATTTAGGTAATTTTTATTCTATATAAATGTATTGCTTTGAAACCACCTTTGCTAACAGGATAATATTTATGTGGAAAGTTTTTTTTTCCTTAATGGCTGCATGATAGGGTAAATTATTAATTTCCTTTTTGTTTTGTTTTTTAGACAGTCTCACAGTGGCGCAATCTCAGCCCACTGCAACCTCCGCCTCCCGGGTTCAAGTGATTCTCCTGCGTCAGCCTCCCAAGAAGCTGGGACTATAGGCGTGCACCACCATGCCCAGGTAATTTTTGTATTTTTAGTAGAGATAGGTTTTCATCATGTTGGCCAGGCTGGTCTCGAACTCCTGACCTCACGTGATCTGCCCACCTTGACCTTCCAAAGTGCTGGGATTATAGGCATGAGCCACCGTGTCTGGCCCGTTTTTTTAATCTCTCTCTCTCTCCCCCTCCTTTTTTTTTAGACAGAGTCTCACTCTGTCACCAGGTGGGAGTGCAGTGGTGTGATCTCAGCTCACTGCAGCTTCGACCTCCCAGACTCAAGTGATCCTCCCACCTCAACCTCTTGAGTAGCTAGGACTACAGGCATGCAGCACCATGCCCGGCTAATTGTTGTATTTTTTGTAGAGATGGGGTTTCACCATGTTGTCCAGGCTGCTCTCAAACTCCCAGGCTCAAGTGATCCACCTGCCTCAGCCTCCCAAAGTGCTTGGATTACAAGCATGAGCTACCGCACCCAGCAATTATTAATTTTCAAAAATCAATTTTGCAGTACAATTTCACAGGATTTCTGTTATTTTATGCCCCACCTCCACTTTTTCCTCACTACACAGGAAAACATTCCCCTAAGTAACAGTATCTGAGAATACACTACAGGACCACTCTCTACATGAGCCTACGAGATATGGACTCGTTAAAAATATCAGACCCGCAAAACTGTAAAAACAAAACAAAAAAAAGTATGCAAACACCCAGGGCAAGAAATGAAAAACTCATGCTAATGTAGTGCTAAGAGTGAAAATTGTAGCCTATAAACTTCTTTTTTAAAAAAAGAAAATAGTGGGATAAGGGCCTAGAAATAGGAAAGTTGTTACCATGGAAACAATCACTTACCCACAATGCAAATATTCCATGTGTATGAGAGGTTATATGTATAAAAATGATGGCAGATACATATTGAACGGGTGTTAGAGCACCGCTCAAAGTGCTTTATGTGCAAACCCTACCACAACTATGCGAAGTAGGAACTGTTCTTTCTGAGCCAACTGTTCTTTCTAAGAGAGAACTGCTCAAGATCACGAAATTAGTGGGCAGTGGAGTCAGGATCGGACCCCGGTCCCTTACCCCAACCTCACACCGGATGGCCTTCTGTGCTAGGACTGCATAATTATAGCCAGAGAAAATCACGTGTAGCCTGGAGAGCAGAAGAGTATTCTAAATACTTCTAGGTTTGCTGCATCTTAGGATTTTAATATTTTTCACATTTGTAACCTTCATGCAATTAAAAGCAGGAGATGATAATTAACCAAATCTTATGAAGAAGGGAAGAACTCGAAATAAGTATGCTTAGAGTTGACAGTGAGTTCAATTCCACAGGGAGATAACAGGACTGAGCTGCAGTTACTGGATCACTTAACACTGACACAGAAACACAAAACGGTGTGATAAAGTTGCTGATTTTTGAAATGTTATTACAAATAGCTTGTAGTGTTAAAACATAGGAAGACATTGACCCAGTGGAAACTTGAGGAAAGAGTCTCACTTAATAACGTATCCAATTTGGAGTTCTTTAATCCTCAGCATCACATAGGCATTACATTGAATAATTTCATTTTTTATTTTAAAGAATGTGTTTTGTTGAAACTTTAAAAAAAATGTGTGAGGGTTTTAAAGTTCCATTTAAAAAAATTTTTCTGTTTTTGCTAAAATTGAGCATGAAGTTTTCAACCTTAAATGAAATTTTTCCAAAAGCTAGAAGTAAGGGAAGATAGCACTGCAATAGAAGTCTGGTGATGGATGGTTTGCTATGATTGCTGACTGTGCATGTATTGTAATATGCCGTGCATTGTGAATCCTTGGCTGACGTTAGGTAAGGCAGAGCACCCTCCGCCCACTTAAATTCCAACCTCTGCATCGACCAGTTTTATTATACTATGAAAGAATTTTCAGTGGGAAACTCATAGTGTTCTTTTCACTCAAAGCCACCCACACATGGGGCTGGAGTAGAATTCAGCAACTGTGGGTGGCCCTGTCTGTGCATTCAGCAACCACTTCTGTCCACAGGAACCTTTTGAAAGCACCTTCAGCCACCTACCTGGGTCTCTGCTCGGCCATACCTCTGGGGAGAGTCATTAACTGTTCTCCCCTTTGCATGGAATGAGGTTCCTTCTTGAAGTCTTGGTTCAGGGGAAGCCATCCCTGATCAGATTAAATCCTCTACTATACACTCTCACAGCTCCTTTAGAGTAGCAGCTTCTCGCCTTGGTGGGTGTGTTCACTGCAGGCCTACACTTGAGAGTTCTGTGAAGATTTGATTAACCAAGTCATCCTCCAGTAAGTTCCACGAGAGAAAGGATCTCACCTGCTTTTTTCACCCCCACCCAGGAACTTGATAAATATTTGTCGAATGAATGAAATAAATGATTGACTGCACTAAAAATTCACAGTCGCTCACGCCTGTAATCCCAGCACTTTGGGAGGCCAAGGCAGGTGGATCACGAGGTCAGGAGATTGAGACCATCTTGGCTAACACGGTGAAACCCTGTCTCTACTAAAAATACAAAAAATTAGCCGGGTGTGGTGGCACATGCCTGTAGTCCCAGGTACTCTGGAGGCTGAGGTAGGAGAATTGCTTGAACCCAGGAGGCAGAGGTTGCAGTGAGCCAAGATTGCACCACTGTACTCCACCCTGGGTGACAGAGTGAGACTCTGCCTCAAAAAAAAAAAAAAAAAAAAAATCAGTGTCTAAACGTTGGGTGCGGTGGCTCACACCTGTAATCCTAGCACTTTGGGAGGCCGAGGTGGGAGGATCACTTGAGGTCAGGAGTTCGAGACCAGCTTGGCCAACATGCTGAAACCCCATCTCTACTAAAAATACAAAAATTACCTGGGGGCATGGTGGCAGGCACCTGTAATCCCAGCTCTTCGGGAGGCTGAGGCAGGAGAGTTGCTTGAACCGGGGAGGCAGAGGTTGCAGTGAGCAGAGATTGCACCACTGCACTCCAGCCTAAGTGACAGAATGAGACTCTGTCTCAAAAAAAGAAAAAATAAATAAAAATTCCCAGTGTCTAACACTGCTAAGCCAGTCAGTGGTAGGTATCAGTGCCTCTATTTGTATATGTGCACCTAGTGCAGGGATGATTTCTAATCTTTTCTATCTGACTCAAGCCCCTGACCACACCTTTGCCCACTCACTCTTTGCTCCTGTTCTCAGCCCCTACATTTTAAACAAGTTCAAGGTCATAAAAGCAAATTTCCTCAACTTCCCCTTCTGCTGGGTCTTCATCCATTGTCTCCTTCTTTCTGACACAGGGTGGAAATTGACCCTGTCTCTTGCCAAAGCCCATTCCCCCTGCTCTGATTCTGTCCCTCCATCTTCCCTAGGCCCTTGCTGGCTCCAGCATCCCCTATTTTGACTCCTCTTCCTTCTTTTCTCTCTCTCCTTACAACTATGCTCAGGTGACTTCCATCTCCCATGACCCTTATAGTTTAGCTCTACGGCAGCGCCGTCCAACAGAACTTTCTGAGATAAGGGAAATGCTCTGCATCTGTGCTATCCAATATGGAGCCCACAGGAAGTTGCTGAGCACATGAAATATGGCTGACATGACTGAGGAAACATACTTTTAATTTTATTTGATTCTAACTTATTAAAATTAAAAGAGGCACATGTGGCTGGTGCCCTCCATATTGGACAGCAGAGTTCTAAAATGTGAACTCTGAAGTCATATTGCTTAGATTAAAATAAATTATAGTTTTGATCTCTGAATCATATGACCTTGGGCAACTTACTTAAGTTCTTTAAGTATTCAACTTTTTCATCTAAAGTTGTGATAGTAGTACTGAAGTATAGGGTTGTCATGAACGAGACAATTCGTATCATTACATTTAACAAATAGTGTATACTCCTAGCATAAACACTCAAAATGTGCTTCTTGTACTTGTCATCATCATCATCATCATCATCTTTGTTATTCAGACATGTTCACATTGTTTTTTCAAACTTCAGCTCAAGATGCATTAACAATCAACAACATCAATTTAGTGGACTTTGGCTAGCATTTTTAAAAAAGACATACTTTATAATACAATAAGAAATATGAGTGCTTCTCATGTAGTAGACGTAGATATGAAGTCATGAAATGTTTGTTTCTATCTATGGGTGAACTATGTACCAGGTGTTGAAGCAAAATATATTTCTTACCATAGGTTGCATTTTCTAAAAATGTTGTGTTTCTCTAGAAGTGTTGTTTTAGAGTTTAGAAGGTCAAGACTATGTTCTAGAGGCCAAATCCAGTGGTCTCTTCTCAGTCTCATCTTGATTTCTTGGTCCTATTTGGCACTGAGGTCCATCTTCCATTCGACTGAATTTCTTTCCTTCCTTGACTTACTTTGCTTACTTTTTCTTCTCTCCACCCAGTGTTTCTCCAAGGGTCACTTGGGTTCTTTTTTTTAAAAAGGAGTCTCACTTTGTTGCCCAGACCGGAGTGCAGTGGTTGGATTATGACTTACTGTAGCCTTGACCTCCCAGGCTCAAGCAATCTTCCTGCCTCAGCCTCCTGAGTAGCTTGGACTACAGGCACATGCCAACATGCCCAGCTAACTTTTAAAATGTTTGTAGAGACAGGGTCTCACTGTTTCCCAGGTTGGCCTCAAACTCCTGAGCTCAAGCCATCCTACTACCTTGGCCTCACAATCACCTGCTGGGATTACAGGCGTGAGCCACAGCACCCGGACCTCCAAGAACCATTGGTATCAAAATCAGTCTAGAGATGTAAGAACATGTTTATTATTCAAGGTGGGCCTCCTGATTGTGTCTCCTGTCACCCTTGTGACCTCTCCTCCCACACTGAATTCAACTCGTCTATGTAAACAATAGGATTTTGCAGACATGACAAGTGTGACTTATGAGGCTTTGTCGTAAAACATCTTGTGGTCTCTGCCTTACTTTCATGGATCACTTGCTCCTGGGGAGCCAGATGCCATGTTATGAGGACACACATCTTCATTCAGATCCTTTACCCAAGTTAAGTCTTTAGATCACTGCAGCCCAGCCGACAACTTG